AAGCTCTGTAATTATTGTGATTTGTCTGCTCCCAAAGAATTTTATCTTTTAGGTCTAATCATAACTGTGTTGATTATTGAATGGTTAGGCAGAAAAAAAGCAATGGCTTTGGAATTTGCTGTCTTCTCGTTGTTCACTTATGCACTCTATTTCTGCTTGGATAGGTTGGACCAAATAGTTCTTGGTTTTCATAAAACATAGAATACTAGTGTTTCTTAGGCTTACCGTAACAGCGTTGATTTTTGTTGCTCGGGCTTTTATATCAGGTGCGTTCCAGTGCGCCTACGTCTACACTCCAGAGGTACAATTCCTTATACGTTTAAAATTATCGAAATATTAGAAAAGAAACATTTTTTCTTTATGCGATTTACAGACTACAATGAAGTAATGTATTTATTGAGACTGCTTTCGCTTTGCTGTGAACTCTCACATTCATTTAGTACTTATAATTGGCCCAAAGGCGACGTCTTCGGTGTTTATGAGCGGAAGAGTCGCGCTTTTTTACTGCTGTATTAACAGACGGTTATTGGTAATAACAATTGAGTACAGTCGTTGTGAACATTTTCTTGAAAATACGAATCTATCCCAAATTTTTTTTGAAATGATTGTTTAATATCTTGAACTATTTCCATAGGAAAGCGTTCTTCCTTCATATGCTCGAGATTACCTCGTACGCCTCTTTTCAAACGATGTGGCCCCTACTAAACTGTTAAATTTCTAAATAGAACTACAAATAGGTAAAATGATGGAAGCGCTTAGAATCAGAGTTGATATTAGCTCTTCTTTGGACCTCAACCCTCACTGTTTTCAGTGCATTTTTATACATTAAAGCTTTTAATTACAGCAAAATGATTTTTAAACACATGTAACAAGCCAACCTTATCTTTATTGCTGATGGCCGCCTTGGTGATTTTAATAAGGAATCGTAGCGACAAGGGAACCGGCAAACAACCAGTTCATTACTTGAAAGAGTAGCGTTACCACTTCCAAATTCTCTATTACCTAACAGCTTGAGGGTTCACTACCAGAGCAAAAAGCTAGGTTCTTAATTTAAAAATAGCGCGATTTCCAAAGCTATGATGTTTATATGGAAGTCGTGGTTTACCTAGCACTCAACTCTCTTGATATTTTTTCCCATTAAATGCATTTTTGCACA